GCCACTGCCTGGGTGCTGGGCTGGAGGCAGGCCCAAGGGTAGGCTGTGGCCTGGGTGAAGAAGAGACAGACTGGCAGGGACTCCTGCACCTGGGTGACAAGAAAAGCTCAGTGTAACCCAGGGGCCAGCGACATTTAGCACTTCTGGTCAGTTCCCTGGAAACAAGAGTCAGCCTGAAGCTCAAAGCCTTTGGTTCTGGTTTATTTGTTTTTTCACTTTTTTGGTGCTGGCATGGAACCCGGGGCAGTGCATATCACCAAACTGCACCCCTAGACTTGTCCATTGTTTATATTTAAGAAAGTAAGCTAACCCTGGGCAACATAGTCCATGAACGAAGCAGTACCAGCCAATAGGACCATGAAGCAGCTGTGAGGTTTTGAGATGAGCTGGGCAGGATCAAGGCAAGGGTTGGCCCTGCCCAACTCCTGAGCAGCCTTGAGGAGGCTCAACCTCTCTGTGTCTCAGCTTCCTTGTGTGAACCCAGAGGGCCATGAACTCAGAGCTATAGGCTACTGGGAGGTCAGATGATCCTGTATGAAACCAGCCCTGGGCCCAGGCACTTGTAGCTATTACTGCTATCATTCTGGGAAGTGGAATTGGAATGGAGGTGCCAGGGCTGGCATGGGGAGAGAGACCCTGAGCTCACAGGGAGACAGGCTGGCAGGAGAAGGGGGTGGCATGTGGCAGATGACAGGCGGGTTGTGTAGAAGGTCCTTCCATCCTAGAACCAAGGCTGGCAGTAGCTCTAACTGTGAGTGGCTCTGTGTCCTCCTCAGATCCAATCCTACCACCGGTGTCCCCTGCTGGGCACAGGCCAAGTGTGGCTTCTCAAAGACACCTGCAGACCAAAACGTTGGTGCTTCTGAATCAAATGATGCAGGGCTGGGAACATAGCTTATCACTAGACACCTGCCTTCCATGTATAGGACACACACACAGACACACACACAGACACAGACACAGACACACACACACACACACACACACACACACACACACACACACACACACACAGAGGCTCTCACAGAGCTACTGTGGCCCCCAGCAAGGAGAGCTTTCAGCCACAGCTGCAGGAAACACCCACTTCCTCTTTGCAGAATATTGTCTTGCTCTGCAGTATACTTTCCAAGGCACAGCAATGTGCGGCTTTCTGAGAAATGATCCCAGTAAAACATGTTTGTTTTCAGTAATGTAACACTTGCTGAGTTCTGGAGCAGGATATTTAAGGCTACTTGGAATGTAAGCCACTCTGGACTCAGTGTTCTGTGTAGAGATATGTAAATGATATTCACAGATACTCGCATTTGGCCTTGTATTCCTGATGCCTAACTCCCGTACACTGTTAACTGGCCCTGGGGGAGGAAGTAGAGCTTCTGGAGATAGCTCCACAACAACAGGCAACAGCCTTGTGTTCATTGTTAAAGACACCCGACTGCAAGCCTCTGTAACCAAAATGCTACCTGCCTGAACTGACCACCCCACCCCCTTCAGAGTCTAAGTTTAACCCAAAACAGGAAACAGAGTTTAGAGAAAAGAGAGAAAGAAGTACACTGGTATTCTTCTAGTCAAAACTGATTCTTCACAGTATCTTTCCTTCTAGCCATTTCCTGATGCCAACCCAGGGAATAAGATAACTTGTCTGTGTTTAGGGAACAAAACAAATTGTGGGGCGATGTAGCTCACTGGCAGAGTGCTTGCTTCACATGCATGAGGCCATAGGATCAATCTGCAGTACTACAAAAAAAAAACAAATAAATTGTGTGAACTCCCACAGGATTGATCACTTCCTGCAACCCCTTTGGCTGGTACTCATGGAGTAAACACTAGCCCATGGACTTATCTCCTCCTGCCCTGTTCAAGTACAAAGTCTGCTTGGAAACAGATTTAAGCTTCATTTATTGCCTTTTCCCCAGCATCTGGAACTCAGTCCCACTCATAAAAGATGCTCATTAAATATTTGTCGAGTGAATGTTCCCAGCATGTGAGTGCCACACAACGAGCACCTGTGCAGGGTGACAGGGCCTCTTCTCCCTGTCTCCCTGCTCCTCCTCTCAGGTGCAGCCCTTGCAGGAATTTCATGTCTTCAAAGCCTGGCGTCTCCTCGGGGCTGGTGCTGAGAGGCAGAGGTGGTGAGGGAAGGAGGGATAGGCTTCACGAACAGGCAGGGTGGTGAGACAGACTTCCTCTCTGCACCCGGCATCTGTACCATGATGCTTACCCTGCATGAAGACCACCAGTCTGCAGCACAGAGGTCTCACTGGATGGCTACATTATTATTACTATCATTACCATTTTATTTTATTATTTTGGTGCTGGGGTTTGAACTCCGAGCCTTGCTGCTAAGCTGACAGTACTGTTTGAATCAGAAGCAGTGGCATTTTGGCTTGTGGAAGTCTTTGAGAAGCCACGTGGATGGATATTCAAATACATGGTTTTAAAGAATTTCTGAGTACTTGGAATGATAGGAACCTTTGAACAGTGTTTTTCAATGATTTGAAGACTGAAGTTTGCTGACCGCGTTTTCCAATGACACAAGTTGGAGAAGGTTGCTGGTGTTGAAAGGTGAGCATAGAAAATGATGAGTTACCTGATAGGTGAGTGGAAACTGAGACAGAATTAGCTAGGGAGAGATGTAAAGTCTCCCTTAACAAGACGCTTCCAAAATGGATGCATTGACAGAGTAATGCTAAGTGAGATAAATTGAACACACGTTTAAATATTGCACCTGTCCCCAAAGCCTGGCTCTGCTCTGGGCAGACAGCCTGGGAATGTGAAGGTTTACTGCTAATATGGAGGTGTCAGGAGAGGACCGTAAAGGTCAAGATGAGAGAATCTGGGAAAGAAGTCTTTGGAGAGGGTGAGGGGTGGGAGAATTTGGGAATTTGAAGGACAATCATTGAATGGTAGATTTATTGCAAGCAGCTCTTAGGACTAAGAGGTGGAATTTGAACAGCTGGAATCTGGTCCGGTTTCAGGCGGAAAGACCTTGTTAAGGTGGCAAGAAAGGTGCAGCACTGTAGAGCAGCCGTTGGCAGAGCAAGTATAAGCAGAGGCTGGACGCTGTAGTTGGAGTTCCAGAGCCCCAGAGGGGCTGCACCTCCTGACCTTTCAGGATTCCCTTCACAGATCTGTGGTCATGGCAGAATGAGTAGGAAATGGGTCAGGCTCAGACAGTCACCTGCATCAAGTTCTTTGTCAGAAGTGGGCTGTTCTCCGGACACACCAGCCTTGGCACACTCCTGGGCCTGTATCAGGGTCTCCAAAGCACATTGGAGGCTTGGGTGCAGGCCTCCATAGATCTGGCTCCAGCACCTGGCTGCACGGAGAGGCCGCTGTCCTCCTGAACTCGTGGTCAGCCTGATCTATTCTCTGGACGCTGCCTCAGGCTGGATGAGGTTCAGCTGCCCAGCATAGTGGCTGTTCCTGCAGGGACACCACTCAGTCCTCTCCGGCCCAGTCCTGAAAGCTTTGCCTGCTGCCTCAGTGACAGCATCTCACAGAGGAGAGGTTGGTTGTAGTGTACACCCTTGCACATGTATCTCCCGTTTCCAGTCAGCTGTGCTTCTGGAAGATGCTGACCCTTTCATTCTTTTAATGCCAGTGGCCCTGTGGTGCCTGGTGGGGAGTTTTTAACATCTTAGGGATTCACCAAAGTGAGTGGTTGGTTTTAGTTATTTTAGAAAATGATTTTAGACACTGATGGGAGTTTCTGCCTGTTGGGAAAGAGCATACTTACAAATATTCATCTGGGTGGGTCCTGGGTGTATTCTGCTTCTTATCAGTACTTGAAATGGTTCTACCAAGTGGAGGATGCTTACTCTTTAACTTATAATCATGTGGCAGCTGAGAAACAGAACGTCTCAGGCCAGCACAGCTACTGTAGAAAGCTGCCCAGCCCTGCCTTAGGTCTGCAGAATAAAGGCTGCATTTCTAAACTGCTGGGTGCAGGCACTCAGCTCCGTCTCCCACCCACCATGCCCTACCCCTGGTGCTTAGGGTCCTCCCCCAAGGCCTCAAGCTCCTTTGTGTTACTGACACAGCTTTTTCTTTAGTGCCATTGGTGCCTCTTTTCCCAGAAGTGGGAGCGTTTCTGGGCCCTTTACTCTTGAGGAAACTTAGGCGAGGGGTGGGTAGGCCCCACTGAATAAAGTCTTTGTCCTCCTTCTGAATGCTGCGGGAAGAAAAGATGAAATCCCTCCAGGGACATTGGCAAGCTGTGGGCTGGTCTTGAGAGCTGGTTCTTGATGGGCTCCTTTGCAGGGTGGCTTTGGGGAGAAATGAAGGCCCCCGAGGTTCCTGTTGCAATGGGAACAGTTCATGTTCATCTTCTTGGTCGCCTGGGCAGCCTCTGGGTGAGCTTTGCCTTTGTCCCGAGCATGGCAGCCCTTTGAACCAAGGCCTCAAGCTTGGCAGGGTCTTGTGGAGCTTGAGCCTGGTGTGTTCACTTCTTTTTGTCTCCACTTCCTGCCCGCTGGTATGGGGCAGTGTGCTTCATGCCTGCTTTTCTGAGTTGAGTATCATGGACTCTGGGTGGGCTGGACTGCGTGTTAACTCTGAGCAGCCAGCCAGCTTGTCCAGGGCTGTGCTGTGCTCCCATTGGCACGCCAAACCCTGATTCTCTGTGTCCCAGACTGGGATCTACCAGCCTGAGCCTGGGTCCTAGCCTGGCAAGTGGGTTGCACAGTGCCCCCGTCCATGCTGTCAGAAAGCACCCGTCCCTGAGCGTCTTTCTCAGCTCAGGGGCACTTGTTCACACACGTCTCTGGACTGTGCTCTGTGTGTGGCCTCTTGTGATCTCTGAGAGGTCCCCCTGGAAGTGGAAATGAAGACAGCCTTGTCACTTCGCTGGGTGGTGAGGGCTGGCCAAATGTCAAAACCATTTCTTTCTGAAAAGGAACTTACTGTGCCACAAGCATCCAGAGCCTACTGTCCAGCAGGGTTGGGCATGCGCTTGCCTCTGTGCATTGTGCTACCTGACCTGTCCCTCTTGTGTGCTGCAGGGAGCTGCTGGAGACTACATGCCGCCTGGCGAACACGCTGAAGAGGTATGGAGTCCAGCGAGGGGACCGTGTGGCCATCTACATGCTGGTGTCCCCAATGGCTGTGGCAGCAATGCTGGCCTGTGCCAGGATTGGAGCTGTCCACACAGTTGTCTTTGCTGGATTCAGTGCAGAATCCTTGGCTGGGAGGATCAATGATGGTGAGTACAAGGGCAGGGGCAGCAGGGCCAGGAGTCCCTTGTTCCTTATTCCCAGGGGACTGGCCATCAAGATGGAGATTAAGTGGCATTAGACGTTAATAACGTCACAAAGACAGATAGTTGGTGCCACCAGGGATAGGCATATAGGCACAGGGATGCCTGAGTCTTCTGTGAGCAGAGATCTGCCAGCTGCTACAGGCCGATTCTGCCCAGAGCCTCCAGACAACAGCCAGCCTGCCGACACTGCCCGTGGTCCTGGAGACTAAGCAGAGTTCCCTGGCTGGCAGACTGAGAGCTGAAAGTAGATGTCCCGAGCCATCTGGTTTGTGGTGATTTGTTGTGGGGGCAAAAGAGGATTTCAAACTGGGTAAACAATTGAGTCCAACCAGACGTGTTCCCATGCCTCTTGCCTGTGTCCCATGCTGTCTGTCCCCTGTAGCTCGCCATGAAGGTATCCAGAGGCCAGACGTCCTGCTCAGGTGGGCCCAGCTTCCATGGCAGATGGTGGTTGTGCCCTGAAGGAAAAATGTGTGGCCAGGGCCCTTGGCATGGGTGGCTACTTCTGTGGATCTAGGTAACTGATGGCTAATGTTTTAGAGCTTTCAGAGATACCAACAGTCTGCTGTGTGCTGTGGTTTGACACCACTAGTCTAGGGTATCTCTAGTGTATCTCCAGCCACTGGTTAGGCCTGCCAGCTCATCTATCTGTGAACCCTGTGCTGAGAATTCTCTGGTGGTGCAGAGGGAGGGAGAAAGTATAAGCACAGGCCTGAAAGCACTTCCAGAAGGGCTCAGGAAGACGGAGCCTAGACTCTGAGACAAAGGTCTGGGAACTACCAGAACCACAGAGAAATGAGGCCAGGAGAGGAAGCCATACAGGGAGCACAGAGCTAATCCACAGGGAGCCCCTTCTGTAGCATCCATGGATCTGGCTGACACAGGTATAGCCAGAGAGCTAGGGGTTCATACTCCCATTTCTCCAGAATCACTGCTTGAGCAGCAGTTCCACTCATGGCTCTGGAAGAGGCCCCCCATTTAGGCTGACGAGAGGACTCCAGGCTTGTGGGTGAAACCTGCTGTCTGCTCCAGAGTCTTCCTCAGAGACTCATAACCATCACAGCCTTGGTCCCTGAAGTCCTCCTGGGTGGGTACAGGGCTGAGGGTGATTCCTTTGCCTGTGAGTCTATGCCCAAGGAGTGTGGCCCTTGCTCACTGCGTTGGCTTTGCCCTCTCTTGGGTGTGGTATGTGAAGTCCCCAGATCAGCCATGGGCTTGGCTTCTCCTGGTTGGATCACTAGGTGCTTTCCCTGAAGGCCAGGTGTGCAGGCCACTCCTGGGGACCCACCCTGGTGGCATCTGTCCTGGGCCCTGCAGACTGCAAGCTGAAGTCAGCCTAGGTGGGGCCTGACATGGAGAATGCCTTGGGGCTTGGTCTCTGCCTCTGGAGCTTTGCGGTCACCACCGTCACTGCAGATGGCTGGCCTGGGATGCCCTCATGCCAGGCAGAAGGAGCACCTGAGGTGGGAGACTGTACTCCCACCCTGGAGGAGAGTGGTGCTTCTGTGCCTGTCGGGCCCCTCCCCGCATGCATCTGGCAGGCCAGGCCTGTATCCTGTGCCACATTGCAGTACCGAGCAGCCCTCGCTATGTCTCTGGTGTTCCACTCAGGTTGGACACTGTCCAGCGCACTCTTAGGTCTGGACGTATGGGCAGTCAGGCTATGGGGGCAATGCGGGGAGGAGACAATGAGGTGCATCCCTGTTGCTTCTATAGCCAAGTGCAAGGTGGTCATCACCTTCAACCAAGGACTCCGGGGCGGGCGCGTGTTCGAATTGAAGAAGATAGTGGATGAAGCTGTGAAGAGCTGCCCGACCATCCAGCATGTTCTGGTGGCACACAGGACTGAAAACAAAGTCCCTATGGGGGAGCTGGACGTCCACCTCGAGCAGGTGGGTTTGTCTCACTTTCTGGGGCTGGAGGAGGAGGGGTCTTATCAGGTGAACTGGGCCTTGTTGGTTGTGGCTATCATTCTGGGTTCCCAGAAGCTGCCCAGGGTCCCCTGAGGAGCCTGCCTTCACATTTCCATTTTGTTTCTGGGGGTGAGCACGTGATCTGTCTCCGTGCTGCTGCTCAGCCCCATCGTCCCCAGTCTTCTCTGCTGTGGCTGAGCCTGGAAGCCAGGAGATACACTCTGGGGCAGTGGTTGCTCTGGCTAAGTCATCTCTGCCACTTCTTCCCTTCAGGAGATGGCACAGGAGGCCCCTGTGTGCGTCCCAGAGAGCATGGGCAGTGAAGACATGCTCTTCATGCTGTACACCTCGGGCAGCACTGGCACGCCCAAGGGGCTAGTGCACACCCAGGCAGGCTACCTGCTGTACGCTGCGCTGACGCACAAGGTAAGTGTGGGTGCTGCATATGCATGCAGGGCCTCATGGGCCACAGTGCTGCTGTGCTGGGACTGTGTGCAAGTCCCTCTGCTCATGCCCAGGGACAGGGCTCTGGCTGCTCTGTTGCCCGGGCTGCGCTGCTGTCACTTCTGCCATAGTATCAGGAATTGTACCTCTGGATTGCATGTGAAATGAAAGAACCTAAACAACTAAGATTTATGATGCTGAGGACATGGCATAGTGGTAAAGAGTGTGCCTCTTCCTAGCCTGGGAGAGAAAAGAATCTCAAAACCGAAATGGGATAAAGATGAATACAGATGCTCATAAAAATTCAGACTTTCTCCTCACTTGAAAGTTCACTTTTTCCTTCTGTCTTTAAAAGAAAACATTTTTGTAGACCCAGAAAGATTTGTGGAAACTGGGCATGGTGGTACATTCCTATAATCCAGCACTCGGGAGGCTGAGGCAGGAGGATTGCCACAAATTCGAGATCAACCTGGGGTACAAAGTGAGTCCAAGGCTGGCCTGAAGTGCAGAGTGAAACCCTGTCTCAAAAAGACAAAATAAAAAAATCTGTGGAACTAGTCCCTCCTCATTTTAAAAGTAAAATTTAAAAAGCCAGCGGTATAAAGAAACTTATGTTTAGTGTGTGGAATTACATTACAGTGGGTAACTCTCTTGGGATATAAAAGTGAAATGATGGAGCCTGAATTTTATTCCAGTAAATGCATCTGCAAATCAGCATTCATGTAAATGTGGTAAGTGTGGTTTTATGGGGTGTCTGTGGCGACCTTGATACTTCCCAGCTGGGCTCAAGTTCCATGTTACCATCTGTGGACTGGATTCTGTTGCAGGCCACCTCAGTGCCTGCTGGTGGCAGCAACAAAAGGAACTGCCCCTGTTGTGGCCACCTTCTACCACACAGATGAGGTACCTCGCCAGGCTTCTGTCCATCAGCTGGGCTAACTCAGGCAGGGTGGGCCTTATCAGTCCCTGTGGAGTCTTGACCAGGTTAGGATCTTACGCCCATTTCTAATTTGGTCACTGTGGGCAGCGGTTCAAGGTGGGACCAAAATGCTGACTGGCCTGCGTGGGTCATGTGGGAGGTCATCCTTGGGGCAGGATCAGAGGGCCTTGGGGAGGAGGAGCAGATGTTGGGACAAGGTCACTTGGCATCCACATGTACACAGCGTGTGGTCCACCCTGAGGATGTTGACAGGCAGGTGGACACACGGACAGGCTTCAGGGCCAGCATGGAGAACCCTAACAGAGAGGCAGATAGATAGACAGCTGCTCTGCATGGCTGTGGAGCAGATCACCGTTAGGCTGATTCCAGAGTCTCATGCTGATGTTGCTCTTGGCTTCATGCAAGGCTTTCTCGTTCTAATTTTCTCAGCTGACTCCTCCCTCATCTTTGGTGATGGGACGGTGCAGAGATGTGATTATGCAAGATGCTTGGAAAGCAACCACTGGGGCTGAAAGCCAAGAATGTTGCAGGCTGGATGTTTCCATTATTTATATAAAATGCACACTGGGGGGCTGTAAGCAGGGTGAGACTTCGCTCTTCCCTGTTCAGAGTGTTTTCAGGACACTGGTGATCCAAGCAAGAGATGCAGGCTGGAGGGATGGAGGACATCTTCCGAGTTTCTCTTCCATACTTGGAGATTTTGGGGCGTCAGGAGCAGGCACCACCAAGCTCCTGTGGAGGGCAGCAGAGGGGAAGTGTGCACCTTCTCACTTGTCAGTACTGCTCTGTGCTGGGCACAACACCCAGGCCTTGGGGTGTGAGGAGGCCTGGGGCACCCACAGGATCGCTGGCAGCCACATGACTAGCCCATTTGGTGACGGGTGGGAGCCAGGTTGTTTGAGTGCAGCAGGGCTCTGGCTCTGCCCTGCTGTGGCTGTTGCAGGGCCGCAACTGAAGCTGGGGAACAGACCTCACAGCTGTAGCCACCCCAAGCCCAGGTGACAGTTGTGCCGAGCCTTGGACAGGTGTGTTACTGCTGACACTGGCAATGTGAAGGAGGAAAGGCCATCTGAGCTTAGAGTGTCAGAAGTGCCAGGAGACTAGAGTCACCGAGGCTAGAGTATTGTGGGGGTAGAGCAGGGTTGCTCACTGGTTGGCAGCAGTGAGCAGAGCACCGGGAATGTGAGGAGAGGCAGGGCCTGGGGCTGGACATTGTCCTGAGGGTCACATCTCTGGGACACTTTCTGACATGCCCAGAGGTGTGCTCTTCTTGTCCTGTTGACAGTCAAAGTGAACTGTCACAGGGCCTGTGGTTGTCACTGGGGTTCTGGTATGTCTGCTTGTACACAAGTATGTTCACGTGCACATGTGTGTCTGCCATGTATGTGTCTGCCTGTGTGTCTACCTATGTACACAAGTGTTTGTCCTTGTGCCCATGCACAGGTCTGTCCATGCACCTATGCTTGTGATGATGGAGGCAGGGCTGTTGGGGAGAAGATGTTGGGGTGTTCAGTGCTATCAGGGAGCTGCAGGTCTCCTGGGGAGGGACTGGCCCCATCTTGCTCCAGGAGCTGGGGGCTTGGCAGTATGGGTATGAGTTGAATTCACTCACCCTTCAGCTCTGTGCTGAGTGGTTGAGGATGTCTTGGGCCAGCAAGCAAAACCTCATTCTCCCACAGAGACACAGCTCTGTGGGCACCTGGCCATTTGTAGCCCTGATGAACTGCCTGCAGACTCCAGGGAGTACTGAGATGGGTCTGTGGTGGCAGGACCCTGGTAACAGCTCATCCAGAGTTAAATGCAGGCTTTTAGAACATACAAGAAACCACCCAAGCCACATGTGTGGCTCAGTGAGTCATCTGAGCAAACACCAGACTGGTCAAGAAGTGGAGTGCTGCTGGCTATGCTGGAGGGAGATGAGACTCCAGAGAGCCCTGCAAACCCTTCATTGTAGTCACCAGGACCAGCGCTTCCCATGGCCTAGCTCTGTCTGGCTGTGTGCATCTGCTGTGAGCACAGCAGTGGTCCTGCACCTGGCTGCTTTTGCCCATGTGCATCTTGCAAGGGGCGCCCTGCTGTTGTGTACATGGGATTCATCTTTCCCTACTGTGCCCTGTGTGCAATCCCTGCAATCCCATCACTTGCCGCTGGTGGCCATGAGTGGCTGTCTCAGTTCTGGACTCGGACAGCTTCCACCTTGTCTTCATTAGTGCAGGAACGTGGTGGGGCAGGGAGGATGCTGCTTGACAACTGCCCTGTGTCCGCAGCTTGTGTTTGACTACCAGCCTGGCGACGTCTTCGGTTGTGTGGCAGACATCGGCTGGATCACAGGACACAGCTATGTGGTGTATGGACCTCTCTGCAATGGTGCCACTAGTGTCCTTTTTGAGAGCACCCCAGTTTATCCCAATGCTGGTGAGAACCCAGGACCCCATCTGGGGCCTGTGCTGGGTGGCATGGCCAGCTGCAGGTGAGGGGAGGGTTTTGTGGTCTTGTGAACTAGATGCTGAAGGACAGCAGAATTGCCATCTTTGGCCTTGAAGGTGGATGGGAGCCAGAAGCCACGTCTTCAGGGTGCTTAGGTGCAGGGTCCAACAAGTAGCCTGGTGATACTGCACCTTATGCTGCCCTTCCAGGTTCCCATCTCTGCTTTAAGCTGCCTGCCCTGGGGACCCCTTAGCATAGTCCTTCCTCAAATCCTTAAGTAGGGAGTGGCGTAAGTGTGTCATGTTCAGGTTCCTCAGGGAGCCATGCAGCTTGCGGTTCCAGGGCCAGGTGTCTTGTTGGGCACCGGGTTGGCCTGAGGAGTATGCAGCACAGGAGGAAGATGCATCACCCCTCTCAGGGGACTGGGCCCCTTTTGGTGACCATGGCCAGCATCTGCACACTCTTCCTCCTGCAGGTCGGTACTGGGAGACCGTGCAGAGGCTGAGGGTCAATCAGTTTTATGGTGCCCCAACTGCTATCCGGCTGCTCCTGAAGCTCGGGGACGGCTGGGTGAAGAAGTACGACCGCTCGTCCCTGCGTACCCTGGGCTCAGGTGAGTGTACTGGGTAGGCAGGCTGGGACAGTGGAGGATGGAGGGCAGAGAGGTGGGAGTGTCTGCTGGACACTGAGGGTTAGGTTGGAAGTCCTGGGGCCAGCGTGGCAGATGGATCACAAAGCTGTATTGTGTGGTGTCTGGCACTGGCTGTGCTGTCACTAGTCGTGTCTGCCTCAAGGGAGCCTGCAGCTTCTGCCTGTGGGGGTGGGGCTGTGCAGTGTTCTTAGTGTTCCCTTGGGTGTCCAGCTGCACTCCCTTCTGTGAAGCATGTGTCCAGAGTCAAACTTCAGAGTAACAGGCAAAACAGGTGTTTAACATTGCAGATTTTGCAACACTAAAAGTAGTCAAGTAGTTGTGCTGAGTGTGTGCACTCTTCAAGTATGAGAGGAAATGTCCCCACCGCCTCCCCTGCAGCACACAGTGTGCATGATACCCCTGCCCACATTCTTGCCCCCTCTTTGCCTTTGGACCTTGTGACAGCTGCTTGTGTTTTTGGCAAGTGTGATGGATTCACAGCCCCTCCAGGTTTCCTCACGTGACATTTGGAGAAATCTTGAGCTGTGGCCTGGCCACTAAGTAGCACTAAGCTCTGCCTTTCTGTGTGCTTCCAGTGGGTGAGCCCATCAACCATGAGGCCTGGGAGTGGCTGCACAACGTGGTGGGGGATGGCAGGTGCACTCTGGTGGACACTTGGTGGCAGACAGGTGAGCATCCCCAGCAAGTACTGGCCTGGGTCTAGGCTGAGGCTGGGGCTCTCATACAGGGAGGCAGAGTCCACTGTGCCATCCAGGTTGCAGGTTGGCCTTGCTTCCCAGTTATTCCATGCCAGTGAGGACTTCTTGGGGCCTTGGTTTCCCAGCCTGTAACTGGGGGCCCCCAGGCCCGGCACAGATGGATCGGACCTGGTATGGTGAGCATGCAGGGTTCCTTTCTGCAGCACCCTGCCCTGTTGTTGGGGTGCTGGCATGGAGCCCACTGAGCACAGCTGTGGAGCAGGGGCAGACCCATTGTCTCAGAGCCCCAGGTCTAGGTGGAGGGTAGCAGGAAGGGTGCATTCCATGGCACTCTCTCCCGGTTATCCGCTCCTAATCTGACTCTGGATATACAGGGAAGGAGCCCACTGCAGACACTTGTGATGCAGACCAGAGGTGCTGCAGGGTTCCCTGACTGGGTAGGGATCTCACATCCCTCCTGGGGGTGGTGCATGTGGCAGAGCAACAGGAGGCCAGGCCTCATGGGTGCATGCCAGGCCAGTGCTCCTCATCTTCCTGTGTGAGCAGATGGTTCTGCCTTTCCTTGTTCAGGAGTGGGGGACCAAACTCCCTGGCACAGGGCAAGGGAAGGTACAGGCACCCCACTGCAAGACATGGCACTGCCATAGGGTGTGGCTCAGGGCTGCACTCACCTGAGCATCCCCTCTTGTCCACACTGAGAGGCCTGAGCTGCCTTTACTTGGGTGGAGGTTCTGGGGCCACTGTGGCTGACGCCTCCAACCCCTGCTCATACCAGCACAGAGGATGCGTCCTGCCTTCTGGGGGTGCAGTCTGGGCCCCCAGCCACATAGTCTTTTCTCTCGCCTGTTGCAGAAACTGGCGGCATCTGCATTGCACCCCGGCCCTCAGAAGAAGGGGCTGAGATCCTACCTGGCATGGCCATGAGGCCTTTTTTCGGCATCCTGCCCGCTCTCATGGATGAGAAGGTGCGTGGGTCCTGCACGGGCCATTCACCTGCTGACCATCACCTCGCTTGGGGCTGCCTTGATGACATCACTGTGGGAGGCAGGCCAGGCTCTCAGGAGGAAGGCTCTAGACGGCTCCTCCTGCCCGCTTGCCATCTTTTGGCTTTGAGTCAAAAGCTTTGAGCAGCGAGGATGATGATGCCAACAGTCTTGGCTGACTCTCCTGCTGTCTTCTGAGTTGCAGGGCAACGTGGTAGAGGGTGGTGATGTCTCTGGGGCCCTGTGCATTGCTCAGGCCTGGCCGGGCATGGCTAGGACCATCTATGGAGATCATGAAAGATTCATGGATGCCTACTTCAGGGCCTACCCAGGTGAGTGGCCTGGCCTGAGGTCTGCCAGAATGTCCTCAGGGTGATGTTGGGCAGTGCAGTATAGGGGTGAAGGGCAAGTGTGCGTGGCTTCCTTCTCTGGACTGTGGAGTTAGCCTGACCTCAACCTCTGAGGCCAGGGCTGGGAGTTTGAGATCAGTGAGTACTCTTGGGTGGCTGCGCTAGCTCTTAGCAGAGAGGACTGGAGGAAACACTGTGGACACTGGCGTGGCTGCAGTGTCTGGCAGCTTACGTTTGTGCTCCCCACTTGTCATGCTGCTGGGCTGGAAGTTACATGAACACCACTTGGCTTCCAGTCTCACACTTGTACTGAGACCCTGTGGGTTCCTCAGAGGTGATCGATCTGCCCTGCTCCCCACATCTGCAGTCAGCAGTGCCAGCTGTCTGCTCAAAAGGCTTGGCTGGGGTTGTGAGGAGACTTCAGGGAAGACAGGCTGGCCAGGAGGGCAGCCTTGGCCAGTGGCCAGGATGGGGCTGCACCAAGATGGAGGGCTGGGGCTCAAGGCTCCTGAGCTGATCCTCTGCTGGGCTGCAGGCTACTATTTCACTGGAGATGGGGCTCACCGAACCCAGGATGGCTACTACCAGATCACGGGGCGCATAGATGATGTTATCAACATCAGTGGCCACCGTCTTGGCACTGCAGAGATCGAGGATGCCATGGTGAGTGCACCTAGCCTATCCTTTACCCTAGCACTGCCATGATTCTGGGGCCTCCCAAACTGGTCCTCCCAGGCTGGTGGACTTGCCACACTTTAACCTGTTCTCTCTGGTGCAGGCTGACCACCCTGCTGTGCCAGAGACTGCTGTCATTGGCTACCCCCATGACATCAAAGGAGAAGGTGAGTGATGAGGCAGCCTCACTGATGTCTACTCGTGCCTGTCACTGCTGCTCCCTGAGCACGGTGTCCTGGGCGCACTGGTGACAGGGCCTGCTGGCTCAGGTCATTCCTCCTTTCCCAGAGGAGGTTTTGGGGGAGGAAGCTGATAATGGCTGGGCAGGTGAGGTCCGATGATGTGCCCGGGGAGCCTTTGCCCAGTTTGCCCTTGCTGTGCTTGGGAAGCTCATCCTGGGTCTCCAACCGATGTTGGGGCTTCACCCATGTCCTGTCACGGGCATTCCTGAGCCATCCCCATTGCGCAGTCCTGTTTTGTACTCACTGACTTAAGTGTCCATGGCAGAGCCTGCTGCAGGCTTTGGCTGCACTTGCATGTAGGAGGGGCCTGACTTCCCGCTGGCACATCCACCTTCCAGGGACACAGAATGAGCAAGAAGCCTCCTCCCACTCTTGGACATGCTTAGCTCCAGAGCCAGAAGGCCTCAAGTCCCCAGGGCCTGGGGATAAGCACAACAGGCATAAGGACCCCACGCCAAGGTCATTGCTGGGCACACTGATCTCATGCTAGGGTCACCTCCTGATACACCGATTTCATGCAGTGATTACTGCCAGGCACACTGACTCCATGCCATGGGTCACCATTGGGCACACTGACCCCACGCTGGGGTCACTATCTGGCACACTGACCTCATGCCAGGGTCACTGCCTGCCATGCTGGCCTCATGGTGGGGCCACTACTGGGCACACTAGTGGGCACACATACTGACCTGGCATCAGGTCACTGCTGGACACACCAGCTCCATGCCAGGTCACTGCCAGACACATTGGTCCTGTGTTCACTCACCACTGGGCACACTGACCCATGCCAGTCACCTCAGGGCAATGACTGCCAGGTCACTGCTAGGCATGCTGACCCTGTGTCCAGGCAGCACTGAATACACTGACTGTGTTGGCCCTACTTCAGGGCCTGGAACAAAGGGAACTTCCGCTAGCTCATTGGTTACACACCTTGTCCCAAGCATCACCTGCCTGCCCGCCAGGTTGTGTGCCCCCGTGTATTCACTCAGATGCTGTTTATGTTCTACTTTATTTCATTCTTGTGCTTTGTGCATACCTAGCAGATCTTTCCACTCTGCCCTTCCGATATTTTCTTTAAATCAACCCACTGTAAAACTTAAAATCAGTGCAAGCACTTCAGAGTAGCTAGGCAGGGAGGCTGCTGTGGCTTTTGTGGGGGGGCTGTGGGTGCTGCCCCGGCAGAGGCCTCAGCCAGGTGTGGTCAGGCCAGGGACAGGTAGAAAAGTTGTCCACCTGGTAAAGTGATGCTGGCAGGGTCTACGTTTCCCGCTGTGTCCTGGGCTGCAGGGGCCCAGGTGTCGGGGCTGGGCCTTTGTGGATCAGGGCAGAGCCAGCCTGGCTGCTCAGGTGCGGGGCCTGAAGTGGGCTGTGGAGTCAGACAAGGACCTCGACTGGCACCATCCCCACTGTTCCCCCAGTGAAACCCAAGAGTGAGCATAGGACAGTGGGCTGCTGCCTGGCAGGCGGACTTTAGCCCTCATGTGAGGAACTGTGGCGGCTGCCCAGGGCAAGGGCAGAGTCCCTAGGTACACACCTAGGGCCACTGGCGCCTGCCAGCAGCTGGGGCAGCTCACACCTAAGCAGGCCTGGGTCACCTGCCAGCAGGCATGGATTTCACACACTTTCTGGTTTCTCAAGTACTTGAACATCTGTTTACTTTCCATTTGTGGATGGCCCAGTAGCCCGTCTGTGCCAAGTGTCTTCCACCTCTACTGCCAGTGGCACTGTCCCGTGGGAGGGGAGCCCTGGGTTGGGTTGCCCTCAGAGTCCAGTCCCTGAGACTGTCTGGGTCTCTGACCCTCTGGCTCAGCCTGTTGCCTGACCACAGCCATGTGGCTCCTCCCTTCATCTTTGGCTTTGGAGCAGGATCCAGGCCACCATCTCCCCCAGCACCAGGAGAATAGAGCAAAATTCTTTCCATCACAGATCTCATAGCCTGTGGGTGGGGTGACAACCATTCCCACAGGGCCACACCCATAGTCAGACTTGGGCAGGGCCAGGAAAGCTTGCAGAGCTGTCGCTGGGCTGGACTGGGTCGGGCTGGACTGGGTCTTGGGCGATAAGTAGGAGTTTGCTGAGTGGAGATGGGAGCCTTTCAGGCAGAAGCTGAGGCCACACAGAGCCAGCTCTGCAGGCACATTTCCCCTTCGGGTTGTCAGCAGACATCCATGGGGTTCGTGCTGTGCTCCGGCCTGGTCTCTGCTGGGGACACAGCTGAGTGACATAGAGTCTCTGCCCTCATGGCCACTGTGTTGGGAGGAGGCAGTAGAAGGGACGGGCCAGGACAGCAAACAGGTTGCAGGAAACTGCACAGCCCAGAGGGTGGGGAGGAGCGAGAGGAGGAAGAGGCAGAATTGGCATGGGGGCCCCAGAAGCACAGTGATGACAGGGATGTGCCTTGGGGCACGAGCTGGTGGCCAGCTGCCTGTCACTGGACTCAGCTGGAGGGCAGAAGGTCAGGTCCCAGACACAACCTCAGGTGCAGCTCTTCGGAGCCGCCAGCGTTGGCTGGTGAAGACTGTGTTTGTGCTGACTGGGGTGGCCCGGAGCTGCACTTTGGCATCTATGATGTGTGGGAGGAGCAGCAAGGGGTGCATCCTCGGGTTGATCTGAACTGGAGGGGCTTCTCAGTGAAGCTGTACGTGTCCCATCAGCCCTGTCGGGGGCTCTGCTACAGCTGAGGGATTATCTGAGTCACAGTGGCCATTGGCATCTCTGTAGTGCCAAGCTCCTTCCTAGCCATAGGTGGCTGCCTGGCTGGCATGCCCACCGAGTTGTTGGACCCACTGCCACTCTGCGTATGGCAGAAATGCACTGCTACAGCAAGACAGCAGCTTCCAGTGTCACCAACACAGGACTTGGAGATCCCTTGGAGCCAGGTGTGGTAACACACACCTGTCTTTCTAGCTCTGTAGGAGGCTGAGGCAGGAGGATTGTGTGAGCCACACAGCAAAACCCTGGCTTACGACAAAACCCTTTGCGATGATGGCAGGTGGCACTGGGACCCTGGCTGGGCAGGTGCTGTTGTGGCACTCCCCAACCCTTGCTTTCTTTTCTTCCCAAGCCGCATTCGCCTTCATTGTGTTGAAGGACGAGGCCCATGACGCAGACATGGTAGTGAATGAGCTCAAGTCGGTGGTGGCCACCAAGATCGCCAAATATGCTGTGCCTGACCAAATCCTGGTGAGTGGACGGGACGACTGGGTGAGCTGCTCTCCTTAAGCTGCTTCTGCAGCCCGGTGGTGTCAGTGGTGATAGTCTCAAAAGAGCTCGTCACCCTCTCCCCATCAGTATCACACAGGCACAAAGCTGGGGTGTGGTACACACCTATGACCCCAGCTACTTGGGAGGCTGAAGCAGGAAGATCAAGAGTTTGAGCCTAGCATGGACAACTTAGGCTCTGGCTCAAGATTTTAAAAGGTGCCGTAGGGAATGTCAGGGTCATCATGGCTCAGCACGAGGCCCCAGTTCAACCTCAGTGCCATGGAACAATAAACAAACACAGGGGTGACCTGCTTGGCTCCCTGGGGGTGGGCAAGGCTTTGGCCTGTGGCTGCCAGGTGCAGGCTCAAGACTGGGTGCCAAAGAGACTTTGGGATTTCATTTTCCCTTTGCATTTCTGTATTAGCTTCCCTCTGTGCTGACAAAATAACTGAGGCCACTGAGAGGGCTGAAAAGCTCGCTGTAGCTCCTAGTGCCAGAGGCTCCCAGGGCAGTTGCTGGGCTTGGTCATCTGGGGACAAGAGGTGAGGGTGGGGGAGGATCCAACTCCAAGAGGCTGCTATACCCTAGGATGCATAGGCTCAGTATCATTCCCCAACACGTGGGCTTCGGGGTCTCCCAAGGCCACAGTAGCCAAGCAGAGCCCAGGGCCTTGCATGTGCCAGACACGCGCTCACCACTGAGTTAGCCCCCTCCTCCATCAGATTAAAGCACCTTTTTTGTTGTTTTTGTTGGTACCGGGGATCGAACTCATGACTGCATGCTTGCAAGGCAGGCACGCTTGCCGCTGAGCTAAATCCCCAGCCCCTAAAGCAGCTTTTAAAGAGAGGCATGGGAAGCAGCTGCTGTGTGGCCTCTGAGCATACTTCCTGGTTCTGGCAGGGGAGGGCTTGTCACCCTGGACAGAGCTGAGCCACGTTAGCCCCAGTGCTTCCTTTCTCCCTCCCTTGGCACTGCTCAGGCCCGGGGTCCAGGGCTGCTCACCATTCTCACTGCTGGCCTGGTGTGTGGAGTTGCCAGGTGGCCAGCGCTGAGTCCCAGAGACAGAGCCACCTGTTGGCTGTCTTTGAGGTGCTGGGCCCCACCCCAACAGCTTCTGATCTTCCGACATGGAGTGGGGCCCCATAGGCTGTGGCTGCTTGAAAGTGCTACATGTTGTGTTCACATTTTCTTCTGTGAAGTTGCTTCAGCTTTCACCAAAGACGAAACTCAGCTGCAGCTGGGGAGAGGTTGCAGGATGAGCCTGAGTTGCTGCCCTGGAGCCAGCGGGCAGATGGTGATGTCAGCAAGGTGCCAGTGTAGCACAGCCAGGCAGGGCTGCAGCTGATCTGCTCCTCGGTGGCTCCTGTGTTCTGGGTGTCTCAGCCCTGGCTCAGGCCATGGGTGGGTGAACCAGAGACCTTTGCTCAGAGTCAGCCTGAGAGCAGCCCTCACCCAGGCCACCATGCTAATGCCACACGTGTTGCCAGGTGGTGAAGCGTCTCCCCAAAACCCGCTCTGGGAAAGTCATGCGGCGGCTGCTGAGGAAGATCGTCACAGGTGGAGTCCAGGACCTGGGGGACATCACCACCCTGGAGGATCCCAGCGTCGTTGAGGAGATACTGAATGCCTTCCAGACGCACAAAGAGAGGCAGGCAGCTGCCAAGTAGGATGAGACCTCAGTGAGCTCAGGCCTGGCCCCCGGGGCACAGCATTTCTTCCCCTCGGACGCTCCGTGTAGTTCATACCCCGGGATGAAGCTGGCCGCAGTCTGACTCGCCAGGTGGCAGCGCACACAGTGTCCTCTGTGCTGCTTGCCTGGGCTCTGTGTCTGGTCTGGGACGTCGGCAGCATCTGAAGCCCACAGCTGGGGCAGCCCCACTTCTCCAGGAGTTTCCAGAGTCAAAAGGCAGAGGTGGTGCTCTCTGTATTCTTGAATTTGGAGAGCTCTGTAAGAGCACTCTACTGAGGCTAAGATATTCACTCACACACTGCAGCAGAGTCAGGGAGGTCTCCAAAACCTCCATTAGTGGGAAGGGTGTGCTCTCTAACTCGTGTTAGCCAGTCTGGACATCTGTTCAGAGGTCCGTGCCTCTGCTTGGCTCCTGTCCTGGTAACCTGAGCCCATGTCCCATGAATATGCCTCAGAACAGGCAAGCCCTGACTCCCCGGCTCCAAAGCTGCTTCAGGTGGATTTGTTCCTCCAAGCTGTGGCCTGGCAGGATTACTCTCCACGTGATGCCTCAGGAAAACTCAGATGCAGCTCAGGGCAGTGCGGCCTGAGCGGGCTCTGGGTCTGAAGGCAGAATGCACTCTCTGCCCTGCTCCTCCTCAGTGTGCCTTAAGCCCCACAGCTATGTTGTGCTGTGGGTCAGGTTGCCCAGTGCTCACCGGGAGCCAGGCCTGGTGAGCACGGGTGAGGTAGGGGACAGGAGGAGACCCGGGGTTGTGCAGGTGTTTTTGAGGTGGGGTTGGGTGCTGGACCCTGGCCAGGGCTGCTGCTGCCTCCAGTGATCAGGCGAGTACCAAGACCCCACAGTGGCAGAGGCCACAGCAGCCACCTTCCTGAGAAGCAGTGCTCATTACCACTAGTGACGCTGAGCCACATGAGGTGAGGCGCAGTTGTGAGATGACTTGGGTTCAAATAAAGTTTTACTTTGTTCGTGCTCCGTCCAGGCTTGTGCTTCGATGGATGCTGGTGTTTCCTCCTCTGGTGCTGGGCACTGAACCTAGGCCTGGCCTGTGCTGGGCAGGTGCCCACCCCAAGCTGCACTTTCATCCCTGGCCATTCTTTCCACTGTGCTCATCCAGAGCACAGCACCAGAAGGCTGGCAGGTCTGTCCTCAGGGTAGTGCTGAAAGACTCTCACTGAGCATGCACACTGGCAACTATGTCTTCCTTGACACCTTGTCAAGCACTCAGGCCACAAGCTCTGCTGCATAGGAATTCAGGCCCTCAGTCACAGTAGCCTCATGGCTGATGTCCAGTAGCCACAGTGGCCATGGCCACCAGCTGGACAGCACAGCATGGACATTCATCACCATAGTGGTCGGCCTGGTGTCCCCGTGTGGGTCCCTAGAGTAAAAGGCCATTGAACTGGAGCCAGGAGTCCTGCCCCAGCTGGGTGGGCAGGAGCCGGGAGGCCTGTTCCCAGGGGCATCCCCTTGACCCCTTGGGCCATGAACTGGATGAACATAGAGGTGGGGTGTGGGTTCCCCAGCATTCATGTGAGAGATGGAACAGGTGGTGGCAGCTCACTGGCAGCAGCCAGGCCACACACCTCACAGGCTGGGGTCCCCCCAGGTGGCTGTCTTGCTCAGCCTTCTGCTGGCAAGGGTCTTGGCTTCCGTGGATGCTGGCCTCCCCTTGCTTCATCAGTGTCTCCATCCAGACTGCAAGGGCAGGTTGTTTACTGTCTCAGTTCCTGGCTTTGGGGACAGGCTCAGGTCTGGCCATGTGACACTGACAGAGCTCCTGAGAAGCCAAGACACCTTTAGTGAGGAGCAGGACAGAGCTGTCACAGGGTGGACTGTCCCAGAACAGCCACATGGCTGAGTCCCTCAGGACTCTTTGTTGCTGTTGATTTTTTTATTCTAGTTCCAATGTCCTGACAGGGACCAAGCTGGTGGCTCTGAGATGTAGGGACAAGGGCAGGCAGCTGCAGCAAAGGCATCAGAGACATTGGGGTGGTCAGCAGGCCAGCACAGCAGACATGGTGACACCACATCAGGCTCAGGATGGAACAGGACATAGTGACCAGGCTCTGTCCTCACATTCAGAAGGAGACACAGCTCCTGAGGATGCCAGAATCCCACAGCATCTGAAATAAAGTGGTGCGGAAAGAATCTTGGACATGGTACAGGGCCTGGCTGTACCCAGCTGTGATGAAGATACTGATAAAGATGAACTCGATTCCTTCCCATGGCTGGCTGTGTACTAGGTGTGTGCTAGTTGCTACTTGCAAGCTGAGACTTGGGATCCCTCACCTGGGATGGGTCCATGGAGCACTGTCACCTATGGCACAGTGATGCTCCCAGGGGCTGTTCCAGGCTCCTGGTCTCCAGAACAGCACTTGCCTGTCTGAGAATCCCAGGATGCCATGGGCTGGTCCAAACTTTGGACTGTTTCAATGGGCTGGGCCCTGGGGACAGCGCTGGGCCTCCATTCATGTGCCACACAATCCTTATTTCTGTTTCATTGTAAGTTAGTCAAAAAGCTGTCAAGCTAGACCTTTGATGAAAACAAATACAAAAATGTGTAAGACATAAATGAATAGTGTAGCAAGTTGGTATAAAACATAGCTCAGGTAGCCCCACTGGAATTGTGACTGGCCTGCTAGACGCCACCCTGCTCATCTGGGTTGCAGTCTCTGTGTCTGCTGAGCACTAGGGCTTGGGCAGACCCTGGTGGCCCCACCTCTGGCACGGTGGACTCTAGAGTTACAGGGAAAGTGGACCCAGGGCACAGGTCACTTCATGCGGGCTCTCTGGAGTCCTTGGAAACCAGCCAGTGAGTCAGGAAGGTCTTCCTCCCAGGAATTCACAAGCACTTTGGAGCTCAGTGAAATGGGGGTGTTCTGGGAGCCACCCACTGGCAACGAAGGAAGCCTGCCCAGGACCCCATGGCACTGTTCATGTGCTTGGTTGTTCTCACTCAGCCTCCTGCAAAGCTCCAGCCATGTAAGCCTGTCAGCAGCTGAGGCCACCATTCCTGTCTCTGCCATCTGTCTTCATCTGTCCACTGCTGTGTATCAGAGCACCTTATACTCTGGTATACAAGGTAATTTACAAGGAGCAGGAAGTTACTTGGCCCATGACTCTAGACGCTGGGAAGCCGAGGAGCCTGGTGCTGGCAAGGGCCTTCAGGCTGGGTCACCCATGTCAGGAGGCAGAGAAGGAACAGCAGGGAAAGGTGGACACTCTGCTGTGAAGTTTGGAGTCTCTGTGACATCAGTCCTGTACCCTATGGCTGGATCAGCTCTGATCAGGACACCTCTCACCATGGAAGCCTGGAGTACAATGAAGCCCAAGTGCTGCCCTGTGCAGTCTCCTGCTCTCGTCTCCCTTGTGGTGTGAGTGAACCTTTGCTGTCGCCTTCCTCGCTCAACGGGAGCATCTCAGGTCACAGATTGTTGCCTGACTTTGCAGTGGCCAAGACTCGGGACTGCTGATCTCAGCTGTTGGGCAGCCTTGAGGTCAGCAGTGCAGTGGCACTGAGGACCTGGGCTCCTGGCCCTTGCAGCTTGTGCCCTGAGCGTAACTCAAGATGAAGGCAGGGCCAGTGTCCTTTGACTCTTTTATCAAAAACTTTTCTGGAGATTCAAACAACTCCTAGGTTTCTATTTCTCAATGAAAACACTGCCTGTGGCCACCTTAGCTTCCCGAGCTGTACAGGTGACAGTTTTCTTTTCCAGCTCTCTGGAAAGGGACAGCACAATGACAGTTTGACAAGGTGCATGGCAGGACAGAGGCCAGGCACCTCAGGGCATGGGTGGTAGTGGACAGACCATCCAGTCCTAAGGAATGGTGTTGCTCTTCCTGTGCCGGCTTCCATGAGCACATCCAAATCCTTCCTATAAATCTTTTCATCTTTCCTTTTCCTCTCCTTTTTGAGATGGGTTCTCATTATGTTGCCTATGCTGGCCTTGAACTCCTGAGTTCAAGCAATTGTGCTATTTCAGTCTTGCTATGTGTGCCACTGTGTCTAGCCCTCTCCCATCTGAAGCTGGCTTTTGTGGATGTGTTTCCGGCTATGGTATGTTGTCCAGTATTTTCCCTATGGTGCACAAGCTCATCTGCATCCTGCCTGAACTGAAACCTGAGCCTCTCAGTACAATTCAGCAACCCCTTTCCATAGCCACCCTTTCTGCTTCCCCGGGTTTGGCCCACTTGCCTTTCCTTGCCCCTTTTGGGCCATTCTGCTGGATCACTCGGGAACCCTATGCCTGCCCCAGGCTGTCACCCTATTGACCCACTCCAAGCCCCTGCTCTTCCCTCCCCCCAATCTGCCCCTTGCAAAGTTGCTTGTGTAAGGCTGGTGTGCAGGGCTCTTCCTACGGCAGCAGAGAGCTGTCTGGTTGCATACCTGAAGGCACTTATGCCCCAAGGGGCCCCAGGGCACCCTACCTGATGTCATGATACTTACTGCTTGCTGCCTCCTGCCTGAGCTCTCCCTAGCTGCCTGCAGGTTTCCAGGGGACATCTGTGCAAGAACATGAAAGAGCACATGTTGGGGCCATAGCCCTGGACTAGAAATGGCCTTGCTCCTGACGCTGGCTTCCATTGGTTGTGCGCCCAGCATCAGGGGCTGCTTTTCCCACATGCAGAGTCCTAGGTGTCAGATCAGCACTGGTCATGTAGGTTGGGGCCTCATCTTTAGTCTTAGGGTGAGAACCAGCCCAGAGGGCCTCCCGCAAGGGCTGCTCTGTTCCTAGATGTTGGTGATGACTTGAGACACCTGTAATTGGCACGGTGTTAGCCAGCTTTTTGTCACTGTAACAAATACCCAAGATAATCAATTTATACAGGGAATAGTTATTTCCATCATGGTCAGTTGGCTTCAGGATTTGATGGCAGTGTTTCCTGGTGGGGTATGTTTAATGGAGCAAACCATCACTTCCTGACAGGGCAATGAGGAAGAGGAAGGGTTGGAATCTCGCTGTCCCCTTTGAGGACACAAACCCAGTGACCTGGAGACGAAGGCCTGACCTCTGAAGAGCTTTAGTTCCTGGAAGTCATTCCCACAAGCCACTCCTTCACGAGACAGGCTTTGGAGCTCCTATGTGGGCATGGTGCTGTTTCCTAGTAGAAAGGATACATTCCCTCCCCTTCCTCAAACTTTTGCTTAACAGCCCTGACATTAGGAAATCTGATCAGGCCAATCAGTGTTCCCATAACCCTGGCCACTGCTGGCATGAAGAGAAAGTGAAATTGATTTGGTTGGCAATGGGGCTGAAGGGTGAGGTGGGAGGTTGGAGTGTTGAAGATAAGACAAAATGCATCTCACCATGACGTGTAAATGAAAATTCTAACCCATGCTGTGCAACACTTGTGCTGTAAGTTGGGACCATCCCAACACCACCTCATCGGTTCCCTGTGCTCCTAGAGGCGGCTGTGGGCTCATCTTCCAGGAGCTCCCATGGGCCCCTGTGTTCCAGACAAGACCACTGGCCTCCCATCCACCTGCCTCCCCTGTGAAGAATACAACTCCAGCTCCCACCCCTGAGGGCTCTTTAGTGATGCTTACCCTTTGAGGAGCCCAAAGGTTCTCTGGCATATTCCTCTGCTGTCCCAAGTTCAATAATACAAACATTATTTTTTTTAATGGATGTGTTCCTAACACCCCCCCCCCCCCCATGGTCTTGCTGTGTAGTTCAGGCTGGCCTTGAACTCACTATGTTGCCCAGGCTGTCCTTGAATATGTGGCAATCCTCCTGCCTCATCCCCCACCCCCTCCACCAAGTGCTGGGATTACAGGCGTGCACCACAATGCTTGGCCTTATCTATGCACTTTAATGCAGTGTGAAATTTGAATAAACCCAAAACAGTGGACTTATGGTTATCATCAGCCTGTTGAAAGTGCCTTGGAAACAAAGAGGAATGTGTTCTCTGGGGAGAGGCCTGGGACCTCATACTGGAAATGGAACCAGAATGATAGAATGGTTCTCCCCCGCGGGGGTGAAAGAAAATGTATCATAAGAAGGAATAATATGACAAGGGCAGAAAGACACAGACTTACAAATGCGCGCAGTTTCCGGAGTCTGAAATCGGGTTAGGGGAGGGAGGGTAACAGCAGGGAGCCAGACCATACAGCCCTTAGTGAGAATGACTGGACACCCTGATGCCGGCTGCAATCAAGGACACAGCATGAAGTAGTGCTGGCAAGGTTGGCTGAACCACAACCTTGACGGGCCCTGGGGAAATGGATTTATTTGGGCAGGGTTCTCCGCCTCTCCAAGCCGCCTCCTAAATGCTGAAAGAAGGCGGCACCTTCCCGTGGCATGCTAGCGCCATCCAGCGCTGAAATCGAGAAGGGCCCGCTTGCAGCCGGAGACCCGGGCGCGCAGTCGGGGCACAGGACCCGCCGAGCGCGCCGCGATTGTCCCCGGTCAGATCCCCGAGCTCACTACCCCCGAACCCGCCTGGGTTGCAGCATGGTCACGTCCCCCATAAGACAGTAACTACACGAGGTTTACATACAAGCGACTGACCAAAACCTTTCCATCCTCTGCCGCTAGCCTTTTCTCGGACTCCGCCGTGGGTGACGGCTCCGTCCGCCCCGCCTTCCTGCAGCGCGGCCTTGGAGCCTTCACAGAAGGACAGCGTCCACTCCCAGCCTAGGGCACTGAGTTCCTACGCGAGGTGACGCGCCCAGAGCCCGAAGCCGGTAGGCGGCACCGGAAGGGGCGTGGCTAGGGCAAACGTCATTTCCGCGCGCGGGGGCCGGGCCAGGGTTGAGCCTCACTGCGGGCTCCGGCGTCCCTGCGAGTACCTACGGTCCCAGAATGAGCGAGGCGGACGGGCTGCGGCAGCGCCGGCCTTTGCGGCCTCAGGTTGTCACGGACGACGGTCCGGCACCAGAGGCCAAGGGCGGCAGGTAGGGCGGCAGGCAGCCCAGTGGCTGCGCCGGAGTCCCGGAGTGTCCGTAGCCTGTCCCGACCCACGCGGACTTCTCTGAGGGGTGACAGTCCCCGGCCTGTCCCTCCTCCCTCACCTGGTCCTCTGTGTGGGGTGATAGTCCTCGGCCGTCCTCCCTTCCCCCCTGGTCCTCTGTGTGGAGTAATAGTCCCTGGCCCGTCCCTGCCCCCGCACCCGGTCCTCTGTGGTGTGACAGTCCTCAGTCCTCGAATTGCTTCTGTGCCCCATGCTGTGTGGATGTTTCCCAGTCTCTGCGGAGGGCAGAAGGTCATGTAGGCGGATTCTGGGGACCCAACCTGTCAGGTTTCCCCAGGGGGACAGGTGGGGAGGGGAACTGGTTTTTGACACCTGATAAGTGTCTAAGTTTTGGTCTTTGCTTCCTCTCCAGTCCTCGAGAATTTAATTATGCTGTGTTTTGATGTTAAAAACCTAAGCATGATTCCTAAAGAATTTTGGATACTTAAAACTTAACTTTTCATTTTTGTGTCCTTGTTCATAATTTGAATTTGTAGGGCAAAGAGGTCCCACAGACCAACGCCAAGTTTTGGAATTAACTTATATTTTGATCGAAGTAGAAAAAGTATCTAGTGGTCATCTAGAGTGTCCCAAAGGGTGCGGTACTTACTGAGCAAGTAGGGGGTTTGCCCCGATGTGCTGAATTGTTTCGGTAATGATTATGAGAGGGCTGAGGGAGATTGATGGCTCACAGCAGTGCTGGGCTCTGGAAAGTCTAAGTTTGGAGGTTTTGTGGCAGTCACTGTTGACTCCCTGGGCTGTGGAAAGTTCAGGACATGAAGCCGTCGTCCTGACTGTTGGTTGACTGGTGATGAATTTTCATTTCCAAGGTTTTTCAGGGCTGTAGCTGGGCAAACCAGGGGAAGCTGTCACCCTGCTTACTGTAGATACTGTCAGTTAATCTCCACTGGAAACTGATGTGTCCTTTAGAATGAGCATATGTGCTGGCTATGTTTTATGACAGAAACCTGAAAACAGGCACTTTGGCCTGAAAAAGGAGAAAGCAACCAGCAGCAGAGTGGGGCAGTGTATTGAAACTTGGGTGCAGAATATCCAGGTGAGGCACTTGTAAGAGGCCCGAGGGCAGATTTAATTAAATTGTTTTTTCGAGTGCTCTGTGGGGATTTTTTCCTTAATGACAGTGAAAATTAGATGCTCCAAAGTCATCTTGACACCTGATCTTTTCTGGTATGCATTTTCCATTTGTGTTTATTTAAGATATTTTCTTGACTTCTTATCTGTGTACCCAGTTCTTATTTTCCTATATGTTTTTTACCCTTTCTTTTATTTGTCAGTCCCTTTCCTGTGTGTTTGTAATGGTTTCTTTCAAAGAGAGTTCTCACTCACCTTCCTACTGTTAATATTATTTTAATATTATAGCTGTTTTATTTATTTTTGTCTGTTATTCTTCTGTATTTTTCATTTTTCTGTGGTAATATCTAGTAGCTTAATTAATTATCTTTTTGATTACTCTAAAGGTCGTGACTTCAGCTACCCTTGGAACCCTGTGTATGGAGGATGGAGTACAGAAATCTGAAGGAAACAGAAAGAGAAAAGTGTTGGAGAAAACTAGAGGTCCTGAACAGGGCAAAAGGAACCTTGCAAGACATATTATTAAACTAGGAGACTAGAAGAAAGACAATGAGTTTGGGTAGTAAGAGGACACCTAGTGATACTTTACTAGGTCTCATGGCTGTTGGTGTGAAAGGTGGCATTTGCTATATTTTACTGAGGAGGTCACTGAGGAATGAGGAATAGTGTTAATAGAGAAATTTAAGTGAATAAGGAAGGGTGGAATTAGCAACTGGACAGTGATTGAGAAACAAAAGTTAGGAATTGTGCTTTGGTGATAAGATTTTGTCTTAAAGCTCTCAAATGTCTGTATTTGAGTGATAAGGGGCATTTGCTATTCATTCAGTGTGGAGCATAAGCAATTTAACATACTAGTGCAAAGGTACCATTATTTGGCAACAGTTTTCCCAAATGTGTTGAAGACTTTATTGAAAGTATAGCCTTGCGCTGTGTTCCTGTTGGTAACACTAACTTCAGGAAGTAAACTGTTTAATGTCCCTGTGTAACTGTTTAGGAGTGAAGAATGAATATGTTGAAAATTAATGGTTGCTTTTTCAGTGAACTGTGGAAGACCAATTAAAAGTCTCTGCTAGTCTCTTCATTCTTCATTTTAAGACTGAAGTTAGGGAGGCAATGTAGAGGAGATGGAGCAGTAACAAAGAGGAGTCAGGAATCTGGAATTTTTATTTCCACTATTTTAAATGGCTTATCTTGTTTCTTAATTTCCTAAAATTTTTTCAAGGAAACATGGTAATTCTAAGAGAGCCAATTTAAGGAAATGTGGGAAATGTGCAAATTCAAGGTGCATTTGCTTAAAAAATTGGGACTTATTGTTCTTTAACTTTCTCAGTTTCCAGGGATTGCCTTGATCAGCAAGGTTTTGGTGCCCCATGGATTGGGGCTAACAGATTTTCCACAGAAATCACAGGAAGCTTTTGGTTTCCTGGAGTCTGTCCATCATGGCTTTAGTCTATGGGGCTCTGATGTTTGATGTGCAGCAGTTAGAGAATGTCCTTCAGGTTTGGCATGTGCAGTGACAGAGGGTGTTGTAAATTGTGACTGGGGCAGCAGCAATTGTCAGAATGTGTTGCATCACTGTGGTTGTGTTCTTGCCCTTGGAGACTGCAGGAAATTTCAAATGTCCTCCAGAGGGAAGCTGGTCTCCAGGCTTTTTCTTCAGAGATAGAGCAAACAAGTTGACTTCTCAGACTGCACCTGGGAGCAAGTCACCAGCCTTCCTGAATGTGTCTACACCATAAGTCGAGAGGATGTGGTGCCCGGTCAGTGAAAATGAATAGAGATAAGAGTAGCCGACTGGGGATAAAACTCAGTAGCATAGCACCTTCCCAGCAAGTGCTAGGCTGTGAGTTTGATTCCCGGTACAAAGAAAAACAAAAAAGAGTAGCATCTTTTATTTAACTTAAAATAATGTTGTGCACAGTCAGCAGGAAGCTGACAGAGAAAAGAGGGGGAAGTGTAGTGTAGTATAGTTGACTGTGTACGGGTATCGCAGAGAGGACGGCCTGCCAAAACATTAATGAACCTCATCCAGGCAAGGCTGCATGGGCACGGGAGCTGGGTTTTCTCATTTGTATCACAAGCTGGCTCCATTTTACATGGTGAGTAGCTTTCTGTCTGTCATTGTGGAGGCCAAGTTGGGCAGCACTGCTCAAATGGTTTTCTTTAGGCGTAAGCTGCTGTTTCTAAAAGTTGACCGTAGAGCTTCCAGTAGACACTGGATGATGATCATGTGGGGCAGGGAGTGAGATGGGCTTTCCCTGGGAGAGGACGTGGATAAGAGAGTGTCCGGTGCCTATCAGGAATGACAATGGAAAGAAAGTGTTCCGAGGCCCACTGTAGACACGCAGACCAGATGCTCTAGGCCTTGCTAAAGCATTTTCAGGTGATGCAGGGAAGCTACCTTTGACACTATTGCACTAGGTAGCTTCTTAGTCCCAGCAAAGAAGGGTGATGTGTGACACATATCATCTGTACTTGTGGCTGATTTTTAGCTGTACACGCTGTCACCTTCAGTCTTGGCTGGACCTTTTCCTTTTGACATAATTGAATCAGTTACCATTGTGTGAAGTGGCAGCCAGATACTTAAACAGAGTGTTGCAAACTCTGAATCAGATTTCCGTACTAAGCTTTTTAAAATACCAAATATGGGGTAGGGGTGTTCAGCAGTAGAGTCTGTGCTTAGCATGTGAGGCCCTGGGTTCCAGCCCCAGCCTAATGTAAGATGCAGTAGCCAAGGGAAGTTAATGTCAGTTAGGGACAGATGAAAAGAATGGTTAGGCAAGGAGAAAAACAAAGATGCCCTTTGACTAGACTGTCACTTTCTTGAATGATAGCCAAGCGGTGAAGGATTATAGTGGAGGGGTATGTGACCCTATCAGGTTCTCTTAAAGGACAGGAATCCAGCTTGGTCTTGTGCAGAAGGCCCTTGAAGTTAGTGCTCGAGACAGGCAGGCACTCTACTTCTCTTTGCGCCTTTGGATGTGTTCTCTTTTGGGGACTCTACTTGTAAAAGAACCACACTAACAAAAGCCTTTCTGCCACTGGTCCTCAGAGCCAGCTCTAGGACTCCTTGTGTGGGAGAGTTGTTCACTTTGTTTCTTTAGTTTTAGACATCTGCATGGAGAAGCAATTCATACACCACAAAACTCACCCATTTGTCCTTTCTGACTCTGTGGGTTTTAGTATCATCAAGGAATTTTGCAACAGTTACTACAGTCTAGCTTAGAACATTTGATCACTGGTAAATTTGAGGTGAAATTCACACAATGTACAGTGATACTGTTAGTAATGTTAAACTATGCAACTCAGTAATATTTGATGTATTCATAGTATTTGGCAACTACCAGCTTTCTCCAGTTTTAAAATGTTTTATCACCCCACTGAAATACCTTCTTCTGGTTAAGAAACTGTAACTGAGTGAAAGGAGCCGTTTCCTGCTCTCATGGATGGGAAGTCCTCTGTGGATGAGTGGAAAAATGAGTTTTGGGTTATACATGCAGCAGAGGGCTGGTCAGGTGGTACCGGTACCGGAACAGTGTGTTGATGCGTTCTACGGGGAGGTAAACCCGGGAGGCCTAATGTTGGGTGGGAGCACCCTGGCAGAAAAGGCTACACACTGTGTGCCCCTTCACATGAGTATCTGGCATAGGTACATTGCCACCTAGTCTCACAGCCTGACCCCAGCTGTTGGGCCAGATTCATCCCCCTCCCCTTGCTTTCAGTAGCAGCATTGCCAATGGCGACCACGGCCTGGAGTCAGAGCCAACCCTCCTGGTGCCTGCTGGTTCTGGCGTGGACCATGGACAGGCACCCGAGCCTCCCACTGCCACTTTGCTCATCTTTAAGTTGGAGAGTCACCACACTGCCAGGTTTCCATGGGAAGCCTGGCCTGTTTTTGCCATCTCATCGATCTTCTCTCATGGCCCTTGCTCCTTCCCTGCTATGGACCTCAGGTTGTATTCACCTGTCACTGGTCTCTATTTCATAGGCATTTTTGTGTTATTTGTACCCATACTGGTACAAATCTTTTTTATTAGAAGATGGTTGTAGGGCCCTGAGGTTTGGGGAAAGGACTGGAGGCAGGGGTTGACTTGACTTCTTTCTTGGCTGCCTACTTTCCTTCAGGAGGGCAGAGTCTCTTCCTGCTGGGTCTCCTGCATTTTGTTTGGATTTGGGTACCTAGACCACCTACTTTTCCTTCTAGCAGAAGGGATGAAGACTAATGGTTTTACAATTTACCTGGGGATGAGGGGATGGATTTAAAACCTTTAGAGCAAAAAGAAGGAAGTTACCCTATGGAGCAAAGTTTTGGAAGGTTACCAAAAGGAAAATTGACACACATGAGAATTCTCATGGCAAAGGGGAAATGTCAAAGGAACAAAAAGAGTGGTTAGCTCTGCCCCGACACCTGTCCTCTTGTGCAGGAGAAAGCAGCAGGAGGGGGACAAGGGCTGTACCTCCCACACTGGCTCAGAAACATCCTCTGCTCAGTGTCCCACCTCATCTTCTACAAGAGGGACACAACACTGCTGCCTGCCACTAGATCTCAAGGATGCATTTTTCTGTATGTTCCTGTGGTTTCTCTCCATATCCGGATGTCCCTAGTAACATGTTCCTGACATCCTGCTAAGCCCTCAACATAGTACCTTTTATGTCTACATATCTGTTCACAGCAAGTTAGGTGTAAGTGTCTCTGCAGAAGATGATATATGTCTTTCCTACCACATTCTTCCCTTCCTTCTGAGATCTCTGAGCAGAATCTTTTTTTTGTTTTTGAACCAGAGATTGAAATCACGACCTTGTGCTTGCCAGGTAGGCACTTATGCCGTTGAGCTAAATCCCTGGCCCGCTGAGCAGAATCTTTAACATCCATATTCCTGTTAGACTCTCCAAGGAAACCTAGGTCTTTATAGTCTTTCTCTACAAAAATTCTCTCATTCTTTTACCAATTCCAAAGCTGCTTACAAATTTTTAGGTATTTGTTACAGCTGCATCTTACTTCTAATGCTAGGAATTACTTAGAAAACTATTTATTTCCTGTGCTGCCATAACAAATTACTACACCTTTACCGATGTGAACAATACAAATTTGTTGTCTTAGACCCCTGTAGATCAAGGTCCTGGCAGGTCTCAGGGTCCCTTCATCAAGGTTCTGGGGTAGAGGACCTGTTTTGTGCTTCCTTCTGTTTGCAGAGCCCCCACTCTTCATTGTATTGTCTGAAAGCTGCTCCCTCCTTTCCTCTGTTTCCCTTTGTTGTTCAGGAGGGTAGGTTGCACTTTCTGCTCTGTTCAGCACATGGAGTGTCCCTGCTAGCCACCTGTTCCACAGTGGCAGCCCTTGGGCTTCTGCAGTGAGGAGGTTGCCTCAGTTCCTAGCTAGGTGCTGTGTGAGTTAACCTGGTACCTGGGCCTCCACTCTGCTGTCCCACTGGAGCAGAGATGAATGTGCTTAATGTAGAAGACGGTACTGTTAGAAATCTAAGCCCTGTCCTTAAACTAAGCCTGCTCTGTTAAGCATGAATTTTGAATTTTTTAAGTCAACATTTTTGTTTTTTGATAGAAAAGCGTTACCTTAGACATGCTGCAGCAGTCCACAGAGCCCTCACTGAGATGATGTCACTGAAACTTCAGTGTTCAGGTTTAATTGCAGTTTTGGCACTTTGCAATAAATAAGTGGGTTTTGGGTTGCAGTTTGGGCCTTTGGTCTCTAAAAGCTTTACCATCACTGCCTTAGATGCTCGTGATTTTATTTGTTTTAAATTAATCTTAATGTAAAGTGGTAAATTGGAGTGCAGTGTATGTAAGCAAATAATGATTTATGAGGTTCATTTAGTAGCAAGCTAATGTTCTCACTTATTTAGCAGGTGAGAAATCATGTATGTGAGGATTGATTCAGAAATATTTAAGGCATTCCTGGTCATTTGTCTAAAAATTTTACACAAGTTTCCCAAGCAGCTTTTAGATCTTTCCAGGTTTCAGGACTGATGGCTTAGAGTTTTAATTTTGTAGATTCTATGTAGTTACTGTGTTGTCTGTCAAACTTTTCCCACCAAGTACAAGAGCTGGAATTTCCTTCCTAAAAATGGGATCTGTGAAATGACAGGAATGGAGGGCTCAGGGAATTGTGCATTATGGAACCTTTTTTTCCTGTTACTTTTTATGTTCTTTGAGTTTGCTTTCTTTAAAACTGCTACAGTAGGAGGTTCAAGATCTGGAAACAACTGACCAGAGTGTCCCACACAGCAAAAAATTAAAAAAAAAAAAAGTACAGTCATGTTTGGCACTCCTGGCAAATGGTGCTAAAGTTCAATTAGAAGTCACCAAGGACTCTTCTGATTACCTTTGTGTGCTTTATTTCTGGCAGCTCCTTTAGTGGCAGAGTCTTCCGAATGACCTTCTTGGTGCTGGCTGCATCCCTTATCCTGCCCCTGCTTGGTGCCATGAAGCTACTGGAGTCCCCCATCGACCCTCAACCTCTCAGGTGAGCTCCCCACAGTCTTCGTTCCCCAGGAGGGGATGTATGTAAGGCTGAAGTAGTTTTCAGAGAAAGGAGACTGAATCAGCCGACCTAGTAGGCCGAGGGGAAGTTACGGGAGAGGGTGCTGTGGTTTCCTTGGTAGTTTACATTGTTTACTCAGAGTGTATGGGTATATGTCTCTGTCATTGTTGAGAAAAGCTTACAAACCAAGGACAGAAATCAAAATAAGAGAAACTTACAAGAATAGAGTTAACCTTAATTTTATGAAATGATAAAAGCACACATAAATTAAGGCTAGATTTGAGTTACCTTGTTTAAATTCTATAAGTAACTGGATTTTTACATTTTTTTTTTAGTACAAGTTTGTGATATGAATTAAACACATTCATTGTGGGGAGTTGGTTCATGATTGTCACATCCTAGCCCTTTCCTCAGTTCCCTCCTCTTTCTGTTCACACCATCTCAGTCCTGTCTTGCCTGGAGGAGATAACTAACTCACTCCTGTTCTGTAGCCCTTTGCCCTTCTGCTTCTGTGTCCCTGGGCCTGCTTGGCTGCCTGGCTTTTCCCAGGTGGGTAATAGCGGGTGACAGTGACTGCTTCCCTCCCCATTTCCACTCTGCAGCCTGGTGTTCCCACCAACTCTTGCTGTGGGATCTTGTCCGCTGGACAGGTTCCCCTCATGTTATGTCAGGAAGCAGGGCCACCTACATGGGGTATTTGGCCAAGCAGTGAGGACTTGATTTTTTTTTTGAAAATCTGCAATTAGTACTTTTTTTTTTCCTAAGTTACCTTTACTGCGTAGGGATCTAGGAGTATGTCCTCCATTGTCACCTGGAAAAAGGGGCCCTTGATATGTAGTCTTGTTAGTGATTGTAGTGGTGCAGGGTCATGCTACTACCAATGTTGGGACCTCAGAGCAGGGATTGGATAGAGTTGTACATTCTGGTCAGTGGGGTCCTAGCTCTCTGTGGGAGCACCCGTGGGGTGAACCTGACTAGAATGTACTGTGAATGGGCTAGGCAGCAGGCAGACAATAAAGGTGGGCTTTCTGAGTGAGCACAGTGAACGGGGGGCTCAGAACCTGGGGCTGGAGAGGAGGGTGTCAGGACTTCCTGGGTGGTGGTCGTGTGTTGGGCATTGTGGGAAAGAAGCTTAGAAAAGAGGCTGCTGGCCCTGGCTGTCCACTGTGGAAGGCAGAGGGCTCGTGCTGGCACAGTGATGACCCAGGGTCCCGGGGACACAGTTGACTGCACAGGAGATGGGATCAGCTTGGCAGAGCTACATCCTTTGTCCCTGGCTTGGGACAGGAGGCTGCCATTGCCTCCCATTGCTGGCCTAGGAGTGGTGGTAGCCTTGGAATGGCCCTGTCTGGACCTTGTGAGCTCCCCTAGGTGCCTCCTGCTCAGGTCAGGCCCCACGTCTCACCCTGAGGTCCCCTGTAGCCCAGTCCTGGTGTGATTTATGGGCTTCTCTTAGCTTCTGACGACCCTGATGGTGGGCCGCTGGTTTTCATACATCATCTTTTGAGCTTCACAGTTTCATACTGATAGTCCATGGTTCCTGTGTACTGTGACAGCTTTCAGCTGCCAGCAGCACTCTTCCCATTGGGCTCCAAAGTTACAGTGACAAAATTTCTTCTCTGAAATGTTTCAGTATGTCCTTGACCTTATATTTTACATTAATTGATAAACATGACTTAGAAATGACTATAAGCACCCATGTTCTGCTCTTCTCTGTGAGGAAGCTAGTCCTTGTCTGAGTGCTCATGGGTGGAGGCTGGGTGGTGCTGCTGACACAGTGTCCCTGGATGGTATTCCGCAGGACAGTGTCCTGGACATGCACACTTATGCATGACAGGCTTTTCACTTCTGCATTTGACAGAATTAGGGAGGGAAGATTGGCTCTGGATGCTGGTTAGGCAGAACCTGAACTCGACAGCATCCTTGCTGAGTTGGCAGGACCTCTGGCTTTAAGCAGAGTCTTCCAGCTGGGCACAGTGGCATACACCTGTAATCCCAGATGCTCAGGGACTGAGGCAGGAGAAGCACAAGTTCAAGGCCAGCCTGGGAAACTTAGTGAGACCTCCCTGCAAAGAATGAAAATGGCTAGGTATGTAGTTCAGTGATAAAGTATCCAGTGTTCCATCTCCAGCAACACAGACATGCACACAGCCCAGTGGTCTAATGGGGATGGGGGCTGCTAAGCCCTGCCCCTACTGCTGTCCTTTGTGGATGCCCCTGCTGCTGAGCAGGTGACTGCCAAAGCCCTGACATTAGCCACGTTAATGCTTTTAAAATTATTTGGTAGTGTGACCTTTTCGGTCACACTACCTTGAACAGTTTTTTATTTTGCCTTTTATATCTGGAAGTTAAGGCTTATGCTCTTATTGGGATGTCCTCTGGTTAGCTCAGAGCAGGGAGTTGTGGGTATAATCCATCCATCTTCCTGTGTGTTGTTGTGGACCCCTCCGGACAACTGCATTGTTTCACAGTTTCAAAGAACCTCCTTTGCTGCTTGGTGTCCTACAACCAAATACAAAGTTGCGGCATGCGGAAAGGCTGTTCGAGAATCAGCTCATTGGGCCGGAGTCCATAGCAAATATAGGGGGTAAGTGAACCAGGGCTGCAAGAGGGGCATGGGGTGGGATGGGTTCTGGGTAGGTGGCCCAGCATGAGTGGCCTCCAGCTGCTCTCCTGTCTGCCTGATGTTTTGGTGCTAGATAGAAACTTTGAGTTTGTCTCTAGAGGCGTTTTACTGCACTTAGAGTGCTGGGAAGGGGACAGGCAGAGTACAGATGTGACCCCTGGGAAGGTAGGTGGTGGATGGACAAGTGTGTTTCTTGGGCTTCACCTGAAGCTGGGAATGAGTGGCTCTCCATGTTTGAAGTCCATTTGTGTGGTGTTTGCCCTCCTCCCCAGCCTGCCAGCTCAAGTTGGGTCTCTTGCCCCTTTGACAAGGCATTTGCTATTAAAATGAGCATTAGGCACAGTTGGTGAGAGAATGAATAGACTAACTGGTGTGAGAATTTCTGAGCAGCATCTTTGAAAATGCTGCTGGGATTCCTATTGGGGCCGCAAGTGTGTGTTCTGCTTGCTGCTGGGCTTTAGTCCTTTATTTCTCATCCTGCCCCAGGCTTCTGTGGCCTCTGCTTGTTGACACAGGACCCACAGCCTGGTCCAGTGCTGCAGCTGTTGGTTTGATTTTCAGCTGACAAAGTCAAAGTTATTGCAAGAAAAACAGTTACTTTGTGATAAAGTTCATATATTTTAAAAAAGACATTGACATTTCTATAAGTAAATTTTACTTTTTTTGGTGAAAAATGAAACACTGCAGTTTAAAACTAGAACCTGTAAATGGAGAAGCTCAAGCCAGTGGCCTCACCTCTCAAGAAGATCCCGAGTCCTGCTTTGCCTTTTTTCCTCACAAAGGAGATGGCTGCCCATTGGGGGCCTCTCTGAGTGCTCATGCAGCTGCAGTTTGGGAGTAACCAGTCTCCTGGGGGTACTTGCCAGTCACTGACAGTGCAGGAGAATAATCTTCAAGTAACACACTTCATCTTTTTTTGAGTGGAGTTTGTTTTTAAGAGCAGTTTTAGGCTCATAGCAAAATTAAGCAGAAAGTACAGTCATGTTTTAAAAGGAAAATTGATTTTTTAATCATCAGGAATGTGTGTTTGGTGCAATTGATGAACCCACTTTGATACTGTATTCCCAGAGTCTGTAATTTATATCAGGACTCATATTTAGAGTTGGGCACTATGTGGGTTTGGACAGATGTGCAGTGACATTTGTCCATCAGTACAGTCCTGCAGAGTGTTTGTTCCACCCTGTCCTGGTCACCTCTCCTTTACCTATTATCCTTAGCAGCTGCTTGTTGCTGCACTGTCCTGTGCTGTGGGGATGGGGAGAAGTTGTCTTCTCAGTGCCTCTTTCATGCAGTGATATGTATTTCAGGTCCCTCCATGTTTCCATGGCTTGGTAGAAGATTTCTGTAAAACAGTGAAGCTAGTCTGTTGACTAGATGTATCATATTTTGTTTATCTATTCATCTACTAATGGATGTCTGCTTGTTCCAAGTCTTGGTGATTAGGAATAAGGCTGCTGGAAACGTGTGCAGTTTGTTTTTGGTATGAACTGTCATAGTCACTTTCCTTGTTGCTAGGAGAAAATACCTGACAACCAAAATTTAAAGGAAAGGTTTGTTTTGGCTCAGTTTGAGAGATTCCAGTCTATAATCTGCAGGTTCCAAGGCAGGAAGACATGGCAGAAAGGGAACAGTGGAGGAAAAGCTGCCAACAGGAAGGCGAGAGCCAAAGAAGGACCTGGGAGGAAGACGGACCCTTCTAGGCCACAGCCCCAGTGACTGCCTCTTCCAGTCAGACCTCACCTCCTAGCTGGAAGCAAGCTATTAACCCCATAATCCAGTGCACCTCTGAGCACACGAGGCTTTGGGGGACATTTAGATCTAAAATAACAGAACTTGAGTTTTTCATTTTACTTGAGTAAATATACCAATGGATAAACTATAAGGGAAGAGCGAGTTTGGTTTTACAGAATAACTGCAGACTGCTTTCCAGAGTAGCTGTCCCACCTGCATTCCATTAGGAGGCAGTGGGAGCCCTGAGGTGATCAGTGTGCTTGCCAGGCTCTGCTGCTCATGTCAGATGCTGGCCTTTCTCATGAGCTGGTTGTGGTATCTTGGTGTTTTCGTCTGCATTTCCCTGGTAACAGATACTGAGCCTCTCTTTTGTTGCTCTCTCCAGGTCTTAATAAAGTGTTTGTTCAAGTCCTCCATACTCTTTTGTAACAGTTTCTCAGTGATGAGTTTTAAGAGTTCATGGTATATTTTGGATAACATTGCTCTAACAGATGTGTTTTTTACAAATAGTTTTTATTGTCTGTGGTTTGTCTTATTCTCTTGACAGCCTGTGTCTTGGTTACTTTTTTCTTTGTTGAGACAAAATACCTGATGCCCAAAATGAAGCAAGGAAAGGTTTATTTAGCTTACAGTTTTTGGAGGTTTCAGTCCATATGCAGCTGGCTGCAAGGCAGGATGGCTGACTGAGGGCAGCTGTTCATGGGGGCCACAAGCAATAAGAGTGAAAAGGGCAAAAAAGGGGAGCTAAGCGCATCTCCTTTCCTCCTTTACACTGTATGCTGGCCCATCTCTGGGCGGGTGCAGCACTCACACCACCAGTTCCAGTGTCAAACAACAAATCAGTCACAAACACTGGATTCAGCTGCCTCCATGGCTACATGAGGTTTTAGGGGACATTTAAACAAACCATAGTAGTCTCTTTTATGGAGTAGATGGTTTTGATTTTAATGAAGTCTAGCTTGTCAATTATTTCTTATGAATCTTACCTATATCTTAAAGATCATCATCATACTCAAGGTAATTTAGATTTTCTCCTCTTTTTTTTATCTCCTTGGAATTTTTATTAGTTTTGCATTTTACATAGAGGTCTGTGATCCACTTTGAGTCGGTCCATTTTTGTGAAGGGCATAAGTCTGGATAAGTTTTTGTACACATCCCATTGTTTTAGCACTAAGTTTGGGAAATGCTGTTTATTTTCTCCATTTTACTGACTTTGTTCCTTTGTAGGTCGACTGTTTAGGAGCATCAGTTTCAGAGCTGTTTATTCTGTCTGCTGGCCTGGCTGCCTGTCCTTCTGTTGGTAGCAGGCTGTGTTGACTACTAGTGTAGCTTTATGGTGAGTCTTGAAGCTGGGCATCATCAGTCAGGGGAATTCATTCTTCTCTGTATTATGTTGACTCTTTGGGGGTTTTTTGCTTCTTTGTATAAACTTGAGGGCCAGTTTGTTGATATGCACAAAGTAACTTGCTGGAATTTTGATTGAGATTGCATTCAGTCTAGATCAATTTGGAAAGAGTTTACATCTGGATAATATTGAATCATTTTACCCATTTATCCAGTTCTTTGGTTTCCTTTATCATAATTCATAGTTTTCTTCATGACGAACTTGTAAATTTTGTTTTATTTATACCCAAGTGTATTGTTTTGAGTGCTAGTATAAGGGATGTTTTTAATTTCAATTTCTACTTATTCATTGCTAATATATAGAAATGTAATTGTGATTGACTTTTGTATTACATACAAATATACTGTGACCTTGTTACAACTGCGAATTACTTCTAGTTGTTTTGCTTGATTCTTTTAGGTTTTCTACCTAGATAGTAGGTCATCTCTAAACAAAGACAGTTTTATTTCTTAATTAGCATACCTGTTATTTGCTTTCTATTGAATCACCTGAGACCTCTGAAATGGTATGAAAATGAGTCATGAGGGGATGGGCTTTCCCATTCCTAATCTCAGTAGGAGAAATTTGAGTCCATTAGCTGTTGTCTGTGGATGATCTTTAGCAAGCTGAGGAAGCTCCTGCCATTCCCAGCTTTTGAGGATTCTCTTTTCCCTCAGGATGGAGGTTGTATTTTGTCAAATACCTTTTCTGAATCTGTTGACACAGTCATGAGATTTTTCTTTTAGTCTGTTAATGTGATAGAGTATATTAATTACCTCTTGAAGATCGAACCATCTTTGCATACTAGGGATAAATCCCACTTGGTTGTGATGTATGAGTCTTCCTATATGCCACTGGTTTGACTGGCTAATACTTGTTGAGAGTTTTTGCGTCTGTCTTCATGAGAAATATTGTTCTATAGTTTTCTTATATTTTTGGTTTTGGTACTGGGGTAATATTGGCTTCATGGAATGAATTAGGAAGTGTTCTGATTGCTTCTGTCTTCTGAAAGAAATTTTAGAGAATTGGTTATTATTCTTAAATTTTGGTAGAATTCATGTGTGAATCCCTCCAAACCTGATGCATTTGGTCTTGAAAGATTGTTAATTATTCCATTTCTTTAGTAGATACAGGTCAATTTATATCTATGTAGTTTTGGCATTCAAGGAATTGGTTCATTTCATCAAATTTAGGTACAGCGTTGTTCATTGTATTCCTTTATTATCCTTTTATGATCCATGGGATCTTTAGAGATAGCCACATTTTCATTTCTGATGTTAGTACTTTTTGTTTTCTCTCTATTTCTTTGCCCACCTAGGCATTTGTGTTATTTGATCTTTTTAAAGAACCAGCTTTTGATTTTATTGATTTTTAAAAATTGATTTCTTATTTTCAATTTCATTGATATCTGCCTTAATTTTTAAAAAAAATCTTGTCATCTGTTTTATTTTAGATGTAATTTGATCTTTTCTTCTAGTTACCTAAATTGGAAACTTGGATTACTGATTTTAAATATTTTAAATTTTATAATATGCCTATGCAGTGCTCTAAATTTTTTTCTTTTTTTATTTAAAGAGAAAGAAACAAAAAGAAAAACACATGGAGATAAAAAAGGGTAGAAATAATACAGAATTACAGAAAAACAAATGGTAAGAAATCACCAGTTGATAAGTTACATATTGTCATCTTAGAACTAGCTGTTCAGGTTACAATATTAAAGTATGTAAAATGACATTCAAATAGTGACACTGCCAACAGTTCTGCTCAATGATCTAACAAAAACTTAGTAATATGGTTATCAGTCCTACACACTTGTTTTATATCTCAAAGAGGGTAAGATTAAACT